AACGAAAAATTCATCCAGCACAAATATGCAGAAATCAAGCATGGCGCATATTCGCAACCGCCGGAAAGTTCGCCGGCGTTCTTGTCTGATGTCGGAGACTATCCTACGGAGGTCCCATTCTCCGATGGCGAACCTTTCCCGTCGCCTTCAGCACCCGATGGCTCCACATTCCTGCGTTTATATCTAAAGAAAACCTAATTTCAACAAGAAACTGAGATCTATTTATTAATCAAATAATCGAACGACATTCTACCTTTGCGATTCGCCGGTCTCGAGAATCCACCGAAACTCGACAAATCTAATGAGTCGCAGATCGATGTGAGAATGTGCAAAGATGCAAGTAAACAGATACAAAGGCGCGATCACGAATTACCTTCGGCAGAGGGTTCGCGGGAGAATATGTATAGAATCGTGAAGCAGAGGAGGATGAGGATGGGGACGAGGTGGATGGATCTCCCGGATTTCGAAAGCGGACGGATCGGCTTCTCCATCTTGGTATCTTCCGCGGAAATGGATGCCGGCGAATCTGACGCGGGAGAGGATCCAGCCTTCCGCTTCTCTTCTGTTTTGAGGATCCTTGCATCGCCATGGATTTCGAGTTTGGAGCTCGGCGATCCCAGTGATTGCCTCTGCATTTCTCAAGCCGAGGGGAGGAAGAGTGATGGAGATGGAGAGCGGAGCCTGACAGCTGTGATTTCTCGGCCCCGAGTGAGACGAAGCGTCATACAAAGGACAATTTCTTTTTTTTTAATTTTTATTTGTTAATTTTAGCATGAAATATTCTGGTGATTAATAGAATTTGTATTTGGGTGAGCTGAATTGGCAGCTGATGAGCTGTTAATCATTTATTGACATTTTGACGTTCGATAATATTTTAAGAACGGCAAGATACTCCTAATAAAAACATAATATATATAGCTTACGTAAATTATTGTGTAATTATAAATTTAAAAATATATGTATTCAATTTTAAATAAATTAATATTAAGGTTATGTATTGTTGCAGTTAGTTAAATATTGTTATATTTTATTCAATTTCAGTTCTTCTAAATATTTGATTTTCTCGATGTGAACTACAAATAGG